CGCAACAAATTTCATGGATCTACTTTCTTTATAAAAAAATATGAAATATTCACTAACAAATAAAAAATTTGTTGCTTATTTGAATACTTAATTCTCATCCTCTATCAAGAGTGATTATTACGTGCAGAGTTTAGACACAGAGAGCCGTTCAATTTTATAATTGTGAACAATAAGAACATAGTAAAAGCACAATTACTATTCACCACTGAATTTTTACTGTTCACCGCAACGCTTTTGGTGTTCACAATTATAAAACCAAACGATTTTCTATGTCCAAACTCCGCACATAATAATCTCTCAAAATATTAAGACCTGATTCAGAAGATAAATATGTCACTTGAATCTTATTATATTATTTAAAATAGGAAAATATATTCTCAACGATTATGTTGTTATACACCTCAAAGAAATGATGTTGCTGAACAAAAAATTAATTGTTATTTGAATCTTATTGCTTGAAAATTGATGCTTCCTAATAAACCAACATCAATTTATGGAGAAATTCATGATATTTATTAATTACTATATTAATTATTACATATAAATCGTTGTCCATATAGCTTGGGTAGATTCAAGATGAATCACATATGGAAGGATCGCCGGCGAGATGGTGGAGCACATGGCGGTCGCCAGATTTTGATCGGTAATCTGCCAAGAACGCACATCTTGATTCGGATCAATGTTTTCGGTTGCCGATTTTGGATCAAGAAACTCGGCGAACCCGTTTGCCCGAAACAGTTTTGCGATTAGAGTGCTCCAAATAGGAAAGTTATCCGATGTTAGAGCGTGCGGAAGTACTAATAGTTTGAGATTTGATATCACGAACTTGAGGGATGGAGAAATGCCAGGAGCGGAAGAATTTGCTCCGGTCGTGATACTCGTTGAGGAGGAGGTCGATGACTGATTCGCCATGAAGAAGCTCCTCAAGATCTTTAGACTCTTGATACCATGTAGAAAAGCATAAACAGAAAGAAGAGGAAGAATAGAGAAGATGAAAGGAAAACTTTATTAATGTTTTTCTGTCTTTCAGTTACAGCCAGGCTAGAGTATTTATAGGAAATACATAGAGAGTAGGTACACGTGTAGCTTTGTAATGGGAAGATAATGTAAGGCTACACGAGTTATCCAATGGTTCTTAACAATACTCACTATGAATGTTTTTAAAATCATCTACCTCTCGATCAACTGTTCATTTAAATCCTCAACTTCCACTCTATCCTTGTGAACAAATAACTAATCTTTTCCACGCATAGTTTTTCTTTTATTATTTGTAGATATATAGCATACATAATTAGAACATGATAATTTATTTTTTTATTCATTTTCTATGTAAAATTAAAATCATTACATGTTAGGGATTTCGAAGGTGTTTGTGTGGTTTAAAAACAATAAAGATTTATAGCTGCATCAACTAATTAATTGCTAACCTATTAAATTATCAAATTTTTAAGTTAGTTTTTTTTAATTATCTTTTAAGTGAAAGGAATGTGTGATAACATCAAGTTTTTGAGAGCTATTATATGGAATAATGAAAAAAAAAATTGATAAAATCTCCAGAATTAAGATTGATTAATTAAAATATAGAAACATCAGTATTACATAATTAATCATTTCACTCATGATAATTACACTTAAGCCATTAGCAATACTCTTATGGCTTTCATTCTAAAAAAAAAAAAACCTGTTATAATTTGGAAGGACTTCAGATACTTGATTCTTATGAATCAAGATAAGAATCAAGTTTCATTACCAGAATCTATTAATATGTCTATTTGAAGATTCATTATTCAGATTTATTATTTAATGTCACTATTATTATTATTATTATTATTTTTAACCCGCAAAGGGGCCTACGCGTTAAAATTAAATAAACGATTACACAGTCTAAATTAGGAAACTACAGCTCACTAAAGCTCGCAAGAGCACAAAATACAATGAAAAAAAAAACCTCCGAGCCGATTGTTCCTAAATCTTACAATTACAAAAATAGCTAAACACAAACAAGGTCAGCAAGACGACAACACCCAAAAATAAAGGAATAGCAAGAGAAAATCAATGAATCCTGTCTTCCAAACAACATAGGGGAATGAAGCAAAATGCGAGCTCAGTAATTAGTCAAGGCTTCCAGCGTCCCAGACGTCCTGCAGGGACCCTCCAGTAAAATGTAGAAAGCGACCAAACGAACAAAACTGAAAATCCGCATCTACGGTTGCCACCAGCAAAAAAGACTAGGACGCGAGCCCCGACCACATCATTGCTCTTAGCCTCACAATCCTCCAATCGAACAACAAAACCAAAAATTCCCGAGAAGTATCAGCAATAAAAATCGAATAAAAAATCATCTTCTACGACGACCTCTCCCCCAAAATTTCCCGCGACTATTAATCTTTGAATTACGGCTCAAAACAAACTCATGGTCGGAGTGTAAAGACTCAGAATTCGAATCAACATCCGACGAATCAATCAACCAATTATTTTGATTCCTAATCTCCAAACCAGAGGAATTACCCACACAGTTAGCCAACTCATGTGTCTCAACCTCACACACAGGCACCTCAACAAAATTGTTGGCATCCGGATAACATTCCTTACCATCCAGCGACGGCAACTCCTTCACAATCCCAATCGGAACCACAGCACCAGACACAACAACTTCAACACCACCATCCGAATCCTTTGAATTCACAACACCCAGAACAGGCGAGCCATCCGAACCATTCAACTCAACAGAAATCACCCCCGGCACCAGCGGAATCGAAGGAGAATCCACACGGTCACAAACCGAGGGCAAAAAAGGAATGGCATTAGGAGATAATAAGAAATCCTTCGCAGCCTCAGCTAGATTAACAGACTCAATAACATCATATTGAGCAACATTGATAGAAAGAGAAATGGGTGCCGTATTCGAAGGGCATTCATCCACAACAGGACAATAAGCTTCATTAACAACCTCCAGCGAAACAGAATCCCCCCCACAACCCGGGTTCGCAGACGGCTCAACAACATCAGAAGGAAGACTCTCAAGAACTGAAACATTATTAATCATCCCACCCTCCAAACAACCCTCAGCAACTTTAATAGCATCCAAAGAAACACAAGGGGGGTTGGGAGAATTCAGATTAACAGGAAC